CCTGTCCTGCTCCCCAGCCCTGCTTCCCCCCCCCCAGGACTTGTTCTTCAGGAGGTTCAGGCAAGCCCGGCTTTGCTGGGGGGAAACTGAGGCAGGGAACATGCACGGGAGCAGTGGGAGCATCTCAGCAGGGTGGGCAGCACCTGGGGGACCATTGGCCAAGAGCACCCAGGACTGGGGGCACTGAGGGCAAGGGAGGCTGAGCTCCATGCAAACAGCATCTCCAGAGGGACTGGGGTTGTGGGGCAGCCCCAGAGCTCAGCCCCACGGGTCAGGAGGTGCTGAGGGGAGTGTGGTGGTGGGGAGAAGGGTGGGAAGGATGGAGGGCCCTTCTCTAACCCCTGGAGAGGAGGGCAGGGCTTTGGAGCCCACATGGATGGCAGATGCAGGTGATAAATCCCCCCCACAAGCAAGAGCTGCAGGACACACATCCCTGCACACCAGAGGGGGTCTCACAGCCCCAGCTCCCACAGGGATGGAGCCCAGCATCCTGGAATCATGGCATCACTTTGGTTGGAAAAGACCTTTCAGGTCATTCAGTCCAACTCTTCCCCCAGCCCTGCCCAGTCCCCACTGCCCCATGTCCCTCAACACCATCTCCAGGGTTTGGAAACCCCTCCAGGATGGGGACTCCACCCCTGCCCTGGGCTGTTCCCAGGGCCTGACAACCCTTCCAGTTCAGGCCATTGGGCAAGTTGGGATGGATCCTGCCCCTCTGCTTTGCAGCCTCCCTGGCTTCCAGCACCCTCTGTCCCTCCTGGGGCTGGGCTGAGAGGTAGGAGAGAAAAAGGAGAGGAGCAGGATTAGCACAGCCCAAGCTCCTGGGGTGGCCAAGGAGCTGTGAGCACCCTGAGCACCCAAGTGTGACTATCTCAGCACATCCAGACTGGCTGCTTCCCTATAATCCCCAAAACCCGGGAAGCCAAGCAGTGTGGCTCAGCTCCCACACACCTCCAGCCAGATTCCCTGCAGCTCCCTGGGCAGCACAAGTGGGTTAGAAACATCCTGGCAAAGCTTGGGAAGCCAGCAGAGACTCAGGGAGATGGTTGCAGCAGAACAGAGGACATGGACAAGGGGCAGAGAGTGTTCCTGGGGGGTTCTGCATCCTCACCTTCTGCTCCAGGACCAGGATAAACCCCTCAGGTCTTCCTGCCATCCCCCTGCTTCAGCTTCAGGGGGCTGTGACACCCCTGGATCTGAAGCAGGGGCTGGAATTGCTGCAGGATCAGTGTGGTTTGGATGAAGGAGCCACCAGGAGAGGATCCAGGTGGTGCTCTAGAAGTTGGCTGCACCTTCACAGCCCCCAGCATTGTGCACAGCCTCATTTTAAGGCTCATCTCCTCCCCCCCCCACCCAAGGCACAACTTTGGCCTCTGGATGGCAGCTGGAACAGCAAAGCAGCTGCTGCAGCAGCAATCCTGCCAGCAGACCCAACAGGCCCCCAGTTCAGGCAGCTGGATCCTGCTGGGAGAAGGAGAAAACAAGGCTGGCTCTTCCCATTCTTCTCTGCTCCTCCTGGCAGCCCTGGCCCCACACATCATCCAGGGAAATGGAATCTGGGAGGCTCAAGCCTGGCAGGGAAAAGGGGCTGGGGGCACCCAAGTCTCCCAAGAAAATGGAGATTTTGGAGATTTCAGAGAAACTGTTCACAGCAAAAGGGGATTCAACCTGCAAGATGGAGCTCATCTGAAAAATCATCCTCCTCCCCAGAGAACTCTGCTCCCCCTGTGGCCCAGGCCAGGTAGAAGCTCAGGATCAGCCAAGGGCATGAGCAGGCAAAGCCCCTTCTCCTCCCAAAGCCCCTCCCTGGCTTCAAGACCTGGCATTAACGCCCAGCAAGTCTCCTTGTGCTGTGGCAATTGGGTTCCTCCTGCCCTCCAAACCTCTCTTCCCAACAGGGAGGGCTGAAACCAGGGCTGGAGTTTTTCCCCTAGAGCAGCAAAAAAAAGGCTAAGTTCATAAAAATAAGAGGCAAATTCATAAGCAAAAGATATGGGACCTTCAGGCTCCAACTCCCAGACATGATGTCTCAGGGCAGGGGCTGGAGCTCAGCAGGGAATATCAACCCCACTCCCAACTGGAAAGATGAAAGAGCCTTGGCTACAAGAGATGTGGCACTTGGTGACATCCACAGAAATAAGTTTATTTCCTCTACCATCAGGATTATGAAACCACAGAAGCAGAGTTTTAAATATTTACAAAGTCACCCAGTGCCCCCGAGAGATCAGGAGATGAGGGGATGGAGGCCTTGGCCTCCAAGGGGGAAGGAGAGTAAAACTGGCACCTGGAAGGCAAAGGACAGGGTGGATGGGGACACTGGGAATAAGCTGGTCATGAGATGAAGGAAGCTGCAAGGAGAGGACATTTCTCCCACTCCCCACCCAGCTGCCGGGGAATCCCGAGCTCCTGGGAGGGAACCAGTAAATCCACCTTGCCCACCCACCCTCCCCAGCACCTGCAGGGAGGGCAGAGCCAGTTCTGTGATTCCAGCAGGGATAGGCAGCCTTTGAGGTACCTCAGCCTTGCTCTCCCATGAGCTGTGTTTCCTTCAGAAGCCCTGGATCCATCCATTTCCATTCCTGGCAGCAGGATGGAGGCAGCGCTGCCCTCCCTCCCTGCAGCCAGAGCTGCCCCAGGCTGAGGGGGCTGTGGCTGCTGGAAAAGTCCATTCAAAACCCAGAGCTGGGGAAAAAAAAAGCCTTAGGAGGAAATGGAGAAGGATTTCCACAGTGGGGAATGGCACTCGACAGATTTCTGGAAGTGCCAGGGGTGGGAACTGTGGCCAGCAGCCCCGCTCCCAGCCTTCCCAACATCTGGAAGTCTGAGCTTTGGCAACATGTGTCTAGATAATCCATAAAACATGGAACCAAGGTGTGAGACAGGCCCAAGAGCCTCTGGATTATTGCTACTGCAGAAGACAGGTTGGCTTCAGCCCTGGGGCCAGGGACTCTGAGCACATCTTTGGCAGGTCACTCTGAGAAATCCCACTGAAATGAAAACCAGGCCAAGAATTCCAGTCCCAGGGCAGGGCAGCCCCTGGGGTGGGCTGGGGTGGGCTGGGTGGAGGCCCCAGCTTGGTCAGACATCATCTTTTTTTCATCATGAGGTTCTCTTTGATCAAGATGTTGGCTTTCTGAGCAGCCCGAGGGCCCAGCACCCTCTGAACAGAGCAGACACCAGTGACTGCTCCAGCTCCAGGCAGACTGGGACAGGCGCTGAGGTCTGAACATCCCCACCCAGCCCTGAAGAGCCAGCACCAGGGAACCAGCTGATGCCAGGGAGAAGGGAGAGGTTTCAGGGGTTCTTTAAAAGTGACTGAGGAAAAGGCAGACCTTGAGAGGCCCAACAGGAGCCCCCAAAACTCCCACGTGGCTTGGGGAGTCAGGGGGTGGAAGCAGATGAGGAGGCACCACACAGCAGGACAGGTCTGAGGGTCAGGGCTTCCCCATCAGAGGAAGCCCCAGGGATGGAAGGCAGTGGGGAGGAGCTTTCTTGCTGGCCATAAACACTCCTTGAGGTTGGAATCTATCAGGTAGTGGAGCAAAGATTTGGCCTTTCCAGGCAGGAGTGGAAGAGCTTTTCTCCTTCCATCTGCAGTGGGAGGGGATCTGCTCAACTGCACAAAAACCCTCCAGTCACACTTCTTCATAAAAAGCCACCTGGACCAGAGCCCCACAGAAAGCAGCATCTGCAGACCAGGGCCTTGGCCAACACCAACCTGGACCTCTCACCCTGAAGGAGGCTCTGGATCATGTCCAAGTTCACTGCCTGCCCAGCACTCCAGAACAACCAACTCCTTTCAGGGCTCAGGAAGGGCCCCCAGCCCCCCATTTCTCACATCAAAGCCAACCCTGCAAAGCACTTTTGCCCCAGGTGTGCTCTTCAAAGCACATCAAAGAAGCCAACGGACCTTCTTGATCACCATCCTGGAACCAGCAGTGCCCCAGTGAGCAAAGCCCAACCAGAACACAGACACCTGCGAGTCCCTTCACCCTTTCTTTTCATCTCTGATGGCCCCCACCAAGCTCAGGTCTCAGAGGCTGCTCTCACAGGTGCTTTCAAACCCTACCTTCAACCTTCTGTCCCAGAAAACATGGACCTGCCACCTCTGCAGGCTCAGGTGTGCTGCCACACACAAAGCACTGGGGATCAAAGGGAAGCTGAAGTGGCTCTTGAGAAGTTTAACAAGTTTCAGCTATTCAGAGCAGGAGGAGAAGCAGGAGAAGCTGCATTTTGTCTGGCACAAGCTAAAAGGGACTGAGGAGCAGCCACCCAGCTCTGCAGCAGGTGATGGGAGCATGCAGACTGCCATGAGCCACCCACCCAAGCCAGCTGGAACAACTTTCCTGCCTTTCTGGGCTCACCAGCAGGACCAGATGGGTTTGTCCTGCTGCAGAGCGTCCTTCTGCATGTCTCCTCAGAGGAGCATCTTGCCACCAACCCCTTCCTGTCACTTCTGGGGACACCAGCAGGGAGTGCCAAGGCACCCCACATCCCCTGGAGGAACCTCATGGCTCCATCTGGAAACATGTGGAACAGGAGGGTCGTGCAGCAGGGAAACAAGAACAACAACTTCTTGGAGACTCAGGAAATTTGAGGAAGCCTCTGGTGGAGTCTGCCAAGACACCAGGTGATCAGAGAGAACCTTACCAGGTGTTATCTGCTTGTGGTCCTGAGCCAGGTTTTGCCTTGCAGCTTCCCTTGGCCCTGGAAGGAAAGGTGCCCACATCTCTCCTTCCCTGGGTTCCTCCCTACCACCTTGCAGAAAGGGAGAGAGCAGGAGGCTTCAGGATCCCACCACAGGGAGACACCATCAAAGGAACCCAAACAGAAGGAGAAGAAACCAGTTCCAGGAAATTAAAAATAAAATAAAAAAATGGAAGTGGAGTTGCCACCTTCCCTGGAAAACACCTCCCAGAGTCTCATGCCTCCACCAAAGCTGGAGCAGTCTAGAGTTTGATCCTTCCTGTGCCCACGGAAGGGGGAGTTCCCAGCTGCCATCACCGCAGCTGCAGCGTCAGCACGATGGTCACGATCACCCCCAGGAAGAGGACAAAGGGAAGCCAGGTCTTCACAAACCCCCCTAGGCTGCAAGATGGGGGGGGGGGAAAAAAAAAGGGGGGAGGGTTTAAATGTGGGGAGATCAGCAGGGACAGACAAAAGGGAGAGGAGGATGGGAGGGTAAATGGAGAAATCAGAGGGAGACAAATGGCCTCCTGGTTTTTGTATCGTGGCCACATGTCACACCCTGGGGAGTCAGGTGTGGGAAAGTGAGACTAAATCAGGTCCACAAAGAACTTTATCATCAACAATAGGGCTGGACTCTCCTGCCAGCTTAAATTCAGGAGAAAGATGAGGGTGTTTCATAGCTGCACAAACAGAATCAGTGAGAGGAGACCACAAAAACATGAAACTAGGTTACCAGAGGCCTCATAAGTCAGAGTGCTGGTGTGTTTCATTAGTGCAGCAGGGACTACACTTGCCCAAAAGCTGGTGGAGAAGCTCCTCCAGGACAGGGAAGACCCACCAGAAGTGGAGCAACTCAAAAGCTTTCTGCAGGGCAGTCCTTGCAGAATCTCCTCTCCCTCCACAAGAAGCTGAAATGAAGTGCCCTTCCCAGTAAGGAAAGCTCAGGGTTTCCCTCTCCACTCCAGCTGGAAGTTCCCCACCAGTGGGAAATCTGACTAGTTTTTATGTAAACAACACTGAAGAGAGGGAAGAGAAACCAGTAATCCTTGGAGACAAGGCATCCTGTGACCTTATGTTCTGACTTCACCCAGCCAAAAGCCAACATGGAGGGAGATTTGCTCTAGTGAGCATTTCCCAATTTCCAGGCACCCCAAATGAGCTCCCAGACACAGTATTTTGGGGAGCAGCATCCAGTGCAACCCAGTAAGGACCCATGGTCCTATTTCTGCTGAATCCAGACTGCTCCTCAGCTCACCTTACATACTTCCCATACAGGAGGGAGAAAAAGCAGAGTTTCACCATGTTCCAGGAGGTGCTGTTATCATATCTCATCAAATTTAAGGCCAGAGCCACGTGGGAATGACAGTTATCACAGCAAAGGTTGTGCTGGAAGAGAAAAAAAAAAAGGGGTAACAATTAGAAATCCTGTCCCTGAGGCTCCTCAGCTCTGTGCTAGTGCAGAACCACAGGTCCAACTCCTGCAACAAGGATACAGGGGGCTCCAGGGAGACCTTAGAGCACCTTCCAGGGCCTGAAGGGGCTCCAGGAAAGCTGGGGAGGGACTTGGGACAAGGGCAGGGAGGGAGAGGACAAGGGGGGATGGATTAAAAGTGGGAGAGGGGAGATTGAGGTTGGACATGAGGAGGAAATTGTTGGGTGTGAGGGTGGTGAGAGCCTGGCCCAGGCTGCCCAGGGAAGCTGTGGCTGCCCCATCCCTGGCAGTGTTGAAGGGCAGGTTGGATGGGGCTTGGAGCAACCTGGGCTGGTGGGAGGTGTCCCTGCCCATGCAGGGGGTTGGGACTGGGTGATCTTTAAGGTCCCTTCCCACCCAAAGCAGCCTGGGATCCCATGGAATGGGAGGTCCCTGCAGCTGTACCATGCGGTGCTTGTACTCCTCCGAGGCGTCATGCACGGCCGTGTCCCAGGCATTGGCACCAGTGGAGTAGACTTTGCTGGGATCCAGTTTCCAGTACCTAGAAGGATGAAAACAGACCCCTATTACTCCTGTACCTTTACCACTTCTTGCTCTTTCCCAGCAGGATGATGCTTAAAGGACATGGGAGAAATCCACCATCTCTGGAGCTGAGCTTTTCAGCAGCAGAGAAACTGCTGCTCCCCCCAGAATGACCCCCCAGCCCTTGGGGACACTGACAAACCCCTCAACTGCTTTCCCAGCCCCTGATGTGGCACCTTCAGGCAATTCAGAACATAAACCTGCTCTGACAGACACAAAAATCTCTCCTCTTCCCCCCCAGAAACCAATGAACATGATGGGAGGGCTGACAGGTCCTTAGCAGAGCAGCATTTACTCAATATTTACTTGACTCAGGGCACCTGAACAACAAGCAAAGCAAGAGCACAGCACGTGTGTCTGCAGGAGCTGTAGGAGATCTGCAGGTCAGGTGGGCAGTTTAATAACAACTAACCAGGGCACTTACTTCACTGGCTTCCCAAATGCCATGTTGTCTTCCTACAAAAAAACAGAAAGATGTCTCAGGAGGATAAACCTGTGAGATACTAATGCAATTGTGGAATGGTTTGGGTTGGAAGTACCTTAAAGATCATCCAGTTCCAACCCCCTGCATGGGCAGGGACACCTCCCACCAGCCCAGGTTGCTCCAAGCCCCATCCAACCTGCCCTTCAACACTGCCAGGGATGGGGCAGCCACAGCTTCCCTGGGCAACCTGGGCCAGGCTCTCACCACCCTCACACCCAACAATTTCCTCCTCATCTCCAACCTCCATCTCCCCTCTGCCAGTTTTAATCCATCCCCCTTGTCCTCTCCCTCCCTGCCCTTGTCCCAAGTCCCTCCCCAGCTTTCCTGGAGCCCCTTCAGGCCCTGGAAGGTGCTCCAAGGTCTCCCTGGAGCCTTTTCTTCTCCAGGCTGAACACCCCAACTCTCTATTTATTTATATTGACAAATTTTTCCTTTATTTATTCACACTTCTACACAGGGTGACACCATCCAGCTCTATGGCAGATGCACCTTGTTCCCTATTTTTGGTGTGATTCCACCCTTCCCCCCCTATTAAAACCTTGTTAATTCCAAGTTGTTAAGTGTCTCAGTCTAGTAATAGGATTAGTTATCCCAAGTTAAAACCCCCTTACTTTGAAAACCCACCAGCCCATCAAGCAGTGCAGAAGACTGGCACATACCTGATGTGCTGAAGAAGCTGCAAAGCAGCTCCTGTCTTCAGAATTAAAGAGGATTTAGGTGTAAAATTCCCAATTAAGAGCCTGAACTGTAAGATTTTATCCCTTCTGCTCACCCAACCAGACTAACCACTACCTATCTTACCCCTCAGACAATCTCCCACTGGGCAGATCTTCCATAACAACTATGCCTTTATTTTGCCAGACTTGGAGCTGCAAAAAAAACCCCAGAGGATGGCTCAAAAGACCCCAGGGAAGGTGAGATGCAGAGCCAAGACAGGTTCTGTTAAAGCACCTGGATCCATCACCTACTTACTGATACAAAATATGGTCCTGCAAAGTCCCGAATGACCCCAGTGGATGTGCAGATGCCCATGTGGCCAATGATGGGGAAAAGCCACCTATGGAAGCAACAAGCCAAGTGTCAGGATGAGACTTTTAGAGTCAGGGAATCATGGAATGGTTTGGGTTGGAAGGGACCTTAAAGCCCATCCAGTCCCACCCCCCTGCAAGGGCAGGGACACCTCCCACCAGCCCAGGCTGCTCCAAGCCCCATCCAACCTGCCCTTCAACACTGCCAGGGATGGGGCAGCCACAGCTTCCCTGGGCAACCTGGGCCAGGCTCTCACCACCCTCACACCCAACAATTTCCTCCTCATGTCCAACCTCACTCTCCCCTCCTATGAAGCAGCAGCTTTTCAACACTTGCTCTTGAGGGCTTGAATTTTAATGTCTCCTCTCAGCCCTGACCAGCTTTCAAGCCTCCAGATGATGACAGGGAAAGGTCAGAGGGAGGAAATGGAGGAATTACCCACCTAACAAGAGATTCTGCCAAATAACAACACCAACATTTCTGCTGCAAAAACAAAATCAACAGGAAGATGCCACTGGGGATGAACCCACCCCTGGATGCCCAGTGGCTTTGGCAGTTCTTTTCATCAATCCCAGGAAGGGATAAGAAGGCTTTGGGAAATCCTCCTAAGGTGGGAATTTTAAGGAAAAGAGGTAAAACCCCAAAGTTTGGAGGCCTGCAGGCAGCAGCAAGAGGGAAGTGCCAAGTCCTGCTCCTGCCGGCGCCGTTCCCAGCCCAGGAGGACACACCACGTCTTCTCCCTGCCTCTGGCTCAGGAACGTTCTCACCTGACTGAGCCGGGACTGGGAAAGCATCAAAACCAGCCTCTGCGTTCCCACACTCCCCCCAGGCCACGCGTCACACTTTCCCATTTTCCCACAGCGGAGAAAAACTCAGGAGCCTCCTGAGGGGGGGGGGAAGGCGAATCAACTTTTAACTCCTTAACGGGGCAGAGCGGAGGCGGCTCCCGGAGGCGGGGGCTGAGCTGAGCTCCCCTTGGCTCCCCAGACACCAAAACACCTCCCAGCTTTGCACCCTGCACAGACAAGCCCCTTCGTGCCAGCGCTTTGGGACAGGAGGGTCCTGCCCAGAGCCCCGGGG